TGGTGGGGGGTGGAGTGGTTGTTTGTTGTGTGCTCATTTGTTGACTAGGGCTGGTTTCCAGATGTCTGGTAGGTGGGAGGTATTGTCACGTTTATTCATATTGTGGAGGTGTTTCTCTATTTCGACAGCTTCCATAATTATTGAGAATTATTGAGAAAATAGATAAACAACCCCACAACATGAATAAACGTGACGATACCTCCCACCTACCAGACATCTGGAAACCAGCCCTAGTCAACAAATGAGCACACAACAAACAACCACTCCACCCCCCACCAAGATTTATAGAAATACAGCAGCTCTGACCACGCTTTAAGCTGAAAACACCAGCCTGAAGATGACGAATGAGACCTTGCCGAAACGTTGCCAAGACAATCTCAATCTTACATGGGAAAAGACCCGAATACAAGACCAGCATACCTACGCCCATGAAAATCTACAAAAACATGTGTGTGTGTGTGTGTGTGTGTGTGTGTGTGTGTTCCAGCATAGCCCTGGAATGCCTTGAGCAATTTCAACTTTGGTACACAGATGACTTACCCTGGAGAAAAATACTGTGGGGGGGTAAGACACCCCTAAAACCCCTCGGGTGTGTGTTATGTTGAGATACAGCCTGTCGTGCCTTAAAATGGCTTCTACTGTACTGACGTAAAATGGCTTCTACTGTACTGACGTAAAATGGCTTCTACTGTACAGGGCAGGGGAGTTGCCATGGTAACGGCTTCACAGTACTCCACGAGGGGGCTCCCTTTCGTAAGGGGGAATATCCATCATTAGAAATTATATTTGGTCTGGACATTTTCCTTCTATAAATAAATACTCGGACAATGCAAGCTCACAGGGCAAGGTCCAGAGTCAAGGTAAAAAAAGGCAAGGGAAGTCCACAAGGCCATAGGGAACAAGGCAAAGGCAAAGCACGGGCGGAGCATGAGTCAAAGGCGGGGGAGTGTAAGCCAAAACAAACAGTTGTTCCTGACAAAGACAAACTCCCCATCCCAGCTTCCCCTTAAGTCAATGCAGGCCAGGTGTTCCTTTCCCTGGGAAAATCTTCTCCTGAGCATCCTCACAGCCCTCCTTTGAGTTTGCCTCTACTCTACTCTCTGTGCCCTCGGATCAAGTGAGGGAGGCAGCTGTTCCTCCTCAGAGGGGATCTACTGCCTATCAGCACCACCGCCTGTCTGCAACTGCTCCTCCTCCATATCTATTAGGTAAAGCAGGTCTCCGTCTGGTCGACCGCCTCCCCCAATGCCTAAGAGGCCTGGGACAGCATGGTCCTCATCCCTTGGCTTCTCCAAACATTCCAAGAGAGACATGCTATCCCCATCGGATGGTCCCGGTTCCAACTCTTCCTCCTGGATTCAGTATTCCAAGTGTGGCTTTTCCAAGGCATTATAAAGTGGTATTAACACTTCATGTGATCTTGATAAAGATCTGGACCAAGTTGACTAGATACTGCCATCAAAGTGGGTCAAGAATAGAATCAGATTCAGATATACTATTTCCTGCATATCTCCACCTCTGCGATCTACAACTATCTCTCCCTTCGCTGTAATTTGCTTTTTAAAAGCTATCCAGGACAACGCATCAAATTTGGCCCTCAGAGGTAAGTGAGGCTGAACTAGTTGGGCGGATATGGCTGTTGGCACGTTTGGATCATATGCACAACTGAACAATCGGAAACGACGTACACTGGCCATTCCATTTGCACATTTTCTTTTGGCAATTATCCATCTTACCTGGGCCACGATGAAAATCACATGGAGACTGCCTGCCAGACAGAAAACAGCTGCGACCTGCTATCTTGTTCAAACATCTTGTGGAAATTAAACATACTGAAGTGTGAAATTGGTTGATGCTGTCACTTCACACACGTTCTCTGAGCCTTCATTGGAACATGTGCCATCATGGTGTGATCA